CACACACACACACACACACACACACACACACACACACACACACACACACACACACATACACACATATATATATTTATACTACATAATTAGTAACGATCCTGCCGTTACAAAGCTTTGAATTCTTCAAAACAAGATAAAATGCATATTTAAGCATTGAAAAATAAACAATAAGTGTAGATAATATTTTTTTAGTTCACATACAAGATGTCCCAAAGTAATATTCGTACGTAACGATTTCGAATCATCTTTGCTGTATATGTGTTACCATAAATCCGAAATTTTATAATGCGAACTAACTAATAAAAACGTGAAATATTTACAAACATTCTTCAGCAACTTCAGATTCTTACTACTAAATTTATAATAGTGTTATAGTAGACACAATTAAAAGCTAATATTGGCTATTTACTGAACCTTTCACTCAAAAACCGTTCTTACTTTACGCGTAAGAGTTATTACCCCATTTAATTGTGTTTAGCAAAAGAATGCTGCGTACTGATTAGCTTCTGTAATCATGTTGATTTGTTCAAATTCGCATATGAGTGAGGAGCGCAAGTGAGATTGTGATACATGTCAATATACAGTTTCAGTTTAAAATCAGTATTTGAGTTTTAAAATGAGTGTTTCATTGCTTGCTGTGTGGAAAGAGAAGTTTACTAACGATTTATTAAAGTGAAGACGCAGAATTCTTTACAATTTTGATTAGGGAACAGTATGGAAAATTATTGGAAAAAATTAAAGAAGCAAAATCAGCCTCGAAGAAAACATTATTGCAGTATCGATGTTTGCAGCATGTAAATTAACTCGATATTTTAGAAATAGGAAGTATTTAGCAAATACCTAAATCTCGCCTAATCTAATCTTGATGAAATATTGTATTATTTATCAGTTGAAGAGATTTTGATGTGATTGAAGAAACTCACATAAGCAAATGCAAAAAAATAAAGTTTTATGCAATTCAAAATGCCACAATAATCTATGTAATAAATAATGTAATAAATAAAATCAAAAAAAATTATCTAAAACTAAAAAAAATTATTTTTATTTAAACTATACTAATTATTTTATCGGATACTACTATTGTTGATTTAAAGTTTTAAGCTATTACTGATTTAAACTATTACTGATAATATTGATTTAAACTACTGTTTATATTGTTTATTAAACCTACTATTGTTAATATTGAATTAAATTATTTGTAATACTATATTCTACTTGTAATATCATATTCTTAATTAATAGCTTCTCTTTGACTAAAAAAAAAATAGAAAAACATGTGTTATTTTAAACAATATTATACTCAAATCGGATAATAATTGTTACATGTGCAGTAAAAACGGGTTTAAACTAAAAAATGCAGTAAATAACTTAATACTAATATTAGCTTCACTAATTCACTAACAGTGTCCGTTATAACGCGAACTTATCAGTAAGAATTTAAAGTTACCAATGTATTATACTTCACGTTTTTACTGGTAAGTTCACATCCGTTTTATAACGGATTTCGGGTATTTATGGTAACATATGTATGTCTGTTGTGCACACATACACACATACACACGCAAAACGTACATGGGAATGCGCTGTGAGTAGCAGAGAGAAAGAGAGAGAGAGAAGAGAGGGTGAGTAAGAGGGAGGGGGAGAGACGTAAAGTATGATGCCGTTTCAACCAAAATTGCGAAATAATATTTAGACTTATTTATAGAAAAATTTGCATACATGAAAAGTCTATTTTATAAAAAATTTATATAACAGAGAATAAACTATTTTTAATTGATACAAAAAATGTGTATCAAGAAGCAGCGCCGATTTCTAATCTCATAAATAAAGAAAAAACTTTACAAAAAATTTTCAAATTAAAGACTGATATTAACTTGCAGAGTTGATAATACGAAGGTGGTTTGAAAAGTGCAAAAATAAAATTATTTAATTTTTCGAGATAAATTTTTTTTATTTTTCAACGTAGTCTCCTTTTAGGCTTATACACTTTGTCCAATGCTGCTCCAGTTTGTTGATCGCTTTCGAATAATATGATTGGTCCAAAACTGTATAAAATAGGCATTCATTTTCGCAATCATCTCCTCGTTTGAATGAAATCTCCTTCCCGCTAGTCATTTCTTTGCATTGGAAAATAAATAATAGTCCGAGGGAGCCAAATCTGGAGAATAGGGGAGATGCGGAATGAATTGAAACCGTAACTTCATCAATTTTGCGGCCACAATTCCGGAGGAGTGAGTTGGTGCGTTGTCGTGATAGAAAAGGATTTTCTTATGGTTCAATCGCGGATGTTTTTCTTGTAGCTCGGTTTTCAAATGGTTCAATGAATAATAATTAACCTATAATAGTTTTATCCTTTTCCATATAGTCGATGAATATTATTCCTTGCGAATCTTAAAAGACAGTCGCCATAATCTTCCCGGTCGAAGGAATGATCTTCGCTTTCTTTGGTGCAAATTTCTCGCTGGCAACCCATTGTTTGGACTGTTCTTTGGTCTCAGGCGTGTAGTGGTGTATCCATGTTTCGTTCACAATAACGAAACGATAAAAGTCCTGTGGATTCTGCTGCAAACATTTCTTGGAAGACTTCACATGATTTCGTTTTTGGTCAATTGTGAGCAATCACGGCACTCATCTTGCAGATAACTTTTTCATATCCAAATGTTGATGCAAAATATTATGTACCTGTTCACTCGAGATATCCATAGCATTAGCAATCTCACGCACCTTGATTCTTCTATCATCCACACCATATCATGGATGGATTTTATCAATGATTTCTGGAGTAGTCTCAACAGAGCGTTCAGCATCACTTGTGCTCATATGGCCACTCCGACGAAACGTTTGAAACCATTTATAAACTGTTCTAATCGAAGGTGCAGATTCACCATAATGTTTATCCAGCTTCTTTTTAGTCTGAGGCGATTTGCCTTTCATAAAATAATTGATTAACACACAAAATTCTCTTTCATCCATTTTTTAGAAATCACTCGACTTCCTCGATTCAGACAAACGTGAAATGTAGAAAAATAGATCAATCTGGCTGAAACTTGGTGTGTGTTCTTCCAAGAAATGCTACTAACTGAAAATAACCTCGATACACAGTGGTGCTATCGAATGATCTTTCTGACTTTGCACGGACTTTTCAAACCGCCCTGATATAGCGATCTGAATGATTTATTGCATACGCTTGCTTATACTTGTATGTAACATAACATATAATGCTAAAACAGCGCTGAGAGCATATATGTAACTCCTATATTGCTTACACAGATTTTTTCCAATAAAAGGCGTGCTCATGAATGAAGTGAAACAGATGCAGACAGAGCAGACGATTTGTTCTGTGTATGTGCGACATCGTAAAACAGTATAGCTTGCGCAGGTGTGTATGATGAGTATGGGTTAAGTTTCTCACGGAATAAAACAATATGAAAAAAGAAAACCAAGCTTGTGTTTCATATTCTGATTAAAAGTGAAAATTTTTAATATAAACAATTGTTAATTAAATTAATTTTATTTTATACAGGGTGTCCCACCTAACGCATCACCTGCTAATGGCAGATTCCTGAAATCATTTAGAGATGAAAATTCTAATACTAAAATATTAAGCATACAATAGTTTTCAAATAGGAAATGTTTAAAAATGTCCAATCGGGCTGTCCATTATTCGCGCGTTCAGGTCTATCATATAGTGAAGATGCTCCTAGATATTAATGTTTAAATATTAACATAATTTTGCGTATATTTTTGAATTTTTTTTCGTAACTTTTTCTATTTATTTAATTAACTTGCTCTATATGTTGATTATAATATTTAATATTAATAGCGATTAAAATAAAAATTATTTTACGTAACATTGACCTTGGAATGCATTGAGTTATTGTTGCACATCGAGCTGTTAAATGAAGTATCTGTCATATGAAGTATGTTGTAAAAAAATAATATTTTTTATGATATAAGTGTCTTAATCAATATTAATAAAAAATTATTTTTTTAATTGAACAGATAATAAAGAACGAATATACTATTGATAAAAATTTTTTCAATGTCAATAATTTATACAAAAATAATATGAAGAATAATTATTCTTGACATATCCTTTTTTACAAAATACAATTATGATCGCTAACAATTATGATCCTTCACTAGGTGATGGACTTGAACGCGCGAATAATGGACAACCCGATTAGACATTTTTAAACGTTTTCTATTTGAAAACTATTGTATGCTCAACATTTTAGTATTAGAATTTTCGTTTCTAAATGACTTCAGGAATTTGCCATTAGCAGGTGGTACATTAGGTCTGGGACACCCTGTATAATAATATAATGCATATTTAACATAATAATATAATAAATAAATAAATATTTTCTAAATAAAAAAAGTATAATAGGTAGAAATCGAACTCGGGTCGACAGATTGTAGTACAGGGTTGAGCGCCCGAGCTACCCGATCTCGGCGACAATGAACTTAACGCGGCCGATATGTAAGGAATGCTATAAACTTTAAATCGGTTTTTCTCGAAAATAACTGAATATTACCCTATCCTTTTACTCAAGTACTCTTCTAGTAGAGTACTTTAACATATATAAGTTCTTTCAAAATCAGTGTTCCGAAATCCGCATTCTCCCCTTGTAAGTTATCAATCGGACATTTTAAGTTTTTTTTTTATGAAACGTGCAAAATCTCGATATTATCAAAAAGACAATTGCTATTTTGAAATTGTTTAAGCCATGTCTTACTAGCAAACGTTTGTAGAATATTTTAAACTACAAAACGTAAAACGATGCTAGATTTTCCCGTCATACGGATATAATTGGTTGAGCGCGGAATACCTCGCCGGCGGGACGGAGTCGGTCAGAAAAATAATTATTAGAGTTTTTAGTTTGTAAATAACAATAGATCGAATTTATTATAAAATAAAATAAATAAAATAAATAACAGCAAATATGTGACAATAGTGTTGGTGTAACAAAACGCAAATGCTGATCAAAGACAGAAATGCTGATTTAAATTATGTATGCCGATGCGGGATAGAGCACGGATATTTGCGGGCGGGCGACTTTTCGACGAGATCACCAGAGCGCAATATTTATCGGAGTGCGATTTCAATAATTATAGCCGTGATATTTTCGCGAATTTTTGCGGACTTGAGGCCGCGAATCGTCGCGAGCGTGATTGCAACGGCAGCCGTAAATCACGTGGCTGTCAATATTTATACGTGTGATATTTATACGGGCGATACTCGGCGGATCTATCAAACTTTTATCGACCTATTGTCGCGTGGATCGCGGCATATAAAGATGGCTATGTGCAGCGGAATTTAACGAATGCACACTGATTTCTCGGATGCACTCGCGAAAGGAACAGCGATCGGCCGAGCGAGGAAACCCTCACTTTAACGATGCGCTTATTTGGAGGCTCACGGAGCGCGATCGGCTGGGAATACCCGGGCGGAGACGGGTTACCCTCACTTTCGACGATGCGTTCTCTTGAGCAGATGCTGTAAGAGATTTAGAAATTAGCAATTGCATGCAGTTACTCGGGCGGAGCAGGAAACACCCCAACTCATGGATTTCTCGCAGTTGTAGGAAGTAGTGGTCGGTTCGGAAGATAGAGAGCTTTTATCGTTAGCTGGAAATTTCCTGGCGGCGGCGGGATACCCTCATCTCGTGGTATTTCGTTTGATTTCTTTTTCGGAGCGGATCGCGAATCGGTTCGTGAGAACAAGTCTCAATTCAAGGAAGATCTGGCTTGATATAGGAGGACAGCTTTTTATATCTCCATGATTCGATATCCGATCGGATTCGGAACGGTTCGGATCGGATTGGGGTGATAATCAATTCACCATCACCACTCTAATTATTAGTTGATCGCTCTTTTTAATCTCTGGTTATTTTCGGCGGTATTCAGTTAACTTCGGAGATTGCTCTCCTCTCACATTCGGGTTCACTTGGTGCTGTTCAGTTGATTTCGGCGATACTACGTAAAGCAATCAACCGTCGGCTCTCAATTAATCTTACGAGAATTATGGATTAAGATTAAAATGACGCAAAGTGCCTTTTGCCCAATGGATCGTCGGTCGGGCATCACTTGGCGGCGGATGGACGGTCGCGGAACGGTGCATAAAAATATGCACCGTTACAAGAGTTTGAATAGATCAGCAACAAGCAAAAGTAATAAATCATCACTAGAGAGATGGAGTGATAAGAAACTTAATCTATCATCAATCAAAATATTCGGCTGCACTGTTTACGCGCATGAACCGAATCAACAAAGATAAAAACTTAATTCTAGCAGAAAAATTGCTCTTCGTTGGCTCAAGGAAACTTTGATAATAGGCTATTTAATCCCAGAACACGTAAGATCACTGTTGCAACCAGTGTGAAATTTGACGAAGAGACAATAAATCCATTCTCTCCGAAGACAGTAAGAGCTGAAGACGAAATGTCGTATGTGTGTTCTTTCACTTAGAGGAAGATAATACAGCAAAAATTCAGAACAAGAAGAGAAAATGATTGAATAGTTTAGTATCAGCACTGACACTGACGAAAGAGAAGCAACAGCAGAAGAAAAGTCATGCATTGAAGAAACAAGAATTTTACGCAATCGTAATAAGATCAGAAAACCTGAAAAATTAACTTATCCGCAAGTTAACATAGCTGAGATTGAACCAATAACCTTTGAAGAAGCATTACAAAGTTCAAAAGCCAAAGAATGAACAAAGACAATTCAACAAGAACTCTCAGCACATCAAAAGAATAAGATGTGGTTCAAAGCACCAAGATATGAAGGCAAGAGAATTATAACATGTAAATGGATATTCAGAAGGAAGGTAACGCCAGGTAAATCGGATCGGCACAAGGCTCGACTTGTTGCACGAGGATTCACACAGCAGCATGGAGTTGACTACATGGATATATGCTCCAGTAGTATGCTATGAAAGCATTTGTATGCTATTGGCTACGGCTGCTGCAGATAACCTTAATATGCTGCAGTTTGATGTCAAAACTGCTTTCCTCTATGGAAAATTAAAAGAAGATATTTGGATTTAACTACCCTAAAAACCTTGGATTGAAGAAAAATGTGTAAAGCTTCGAATGTCGCTGTATAGTCTAAGACAGTCTCTCCATTGTTGGAATGAAAAATTCAACGACGTCTTGATGAAATATCACTTGCAAAGATCAAAAGGTGATGACTGTATATATTTTGGCAAAATTGATACGAAAAGAATATATCTAGCCTTATACGACGTATATCTCGTTCTGTGCAGATCTTCGGAGACTTTGTAGCAATTTATACAACATCTAAGTAAGGAATTTGAAATAAAAGTATGCACGTCTAGTTATTTCGTAGGCATTGAAATTGAACAAGATCAAAGTAAAAAATAATCAAGATCCACCAAGCTATACATAACTCAAGAAGCTAATCGAAAAATTCAAGATGGAAGAAGCAAAAGGAGTTTCCATTCCAGTCAATCCAATCGTAAAATTGTTAAAGCGGATGAGTCCATCTTATGTCATAGAAAGAAAATCTATGTCAAACATTCCATTTAGCGAACTAATTGGTTCACTATAGTTTCTAGCAAATGTCATCAAATTTGATATAGCTTTCAGTATCAATTTGCTGAATCAATATTTACAGTCAGAACATTGGCAAGTTACTAAACGAGTGCCGAGGTACTTCAAAGAAATATGTAATGAAGGAATCTCATATCAAAATGAAACGCCAACACGAAAACGCACCTGCTTCTCGCACACAGATTTTGCAGGAGATTAGGACGAACGCCGTTTCCTCTGGATATATTGCACTAATGAATGATGCACAAGTAGCCTGGACATCTCGTCGAGAACAGAAGTCGAGTACAGAAGATTGTAACATTATCAATTGTAGAGGCAGATTTAGTGCTTTCACAAGCAGCGCAAGAAGCTGAGTCACTGAGACAAATGTTAACTGCAGTATATGGAGTCCAAGAATGAAGAAAAGCGGACCGCCGGTTCGTAAATCATTAATGTGCTATGCGGACATGCTTGTTGGTTAAGCCGAA